ATGCGACCGAAATTCGAAGTTTCTTGGGTTTACCAGGCTATTACCGACGTTTCGTAGAAGGATTCGCTAAACTGGCAAAGCCAATGACGAAGTTGACGGGAAAGAATGTACGCTTCGAATGGACAGAGGATTGTGAGAAGAGTTTCATGGAACTAAAGAAGAGGTTGACCACTGCACCCATTTTGGCGTTATCTTGCCCAGGTGTTCCGTATGACGTGTACACGGATGCATCGAGGCAAGGATTGGGCTGTGTTTTAATGCAAGAAGGACATGTGATAGTATATGCATCCAGACAGTTGAAAAGACACGAGGAGAACTATCCGACTCATGATCTGGAACTAGTCGCGATAATCCACGCTCTGAAAATTTGGAGATCTTATCTTTATGGTGAGAAGGTTAAACTCAACACCGATCACAAGAGTTTAACCCATGTCATCTCGCAAAAAGATCTGAACCTCCGACAAAGACGTTGGCTAGAACTGATAGGCTGATTATGACTTGGAAATTACCATCCAGGTAAAGCAAATGTTGTAGCCGATGCATTGAGTCAGAAGAAGATACTGTCTGCTATCAGAGTATTGTCCTCATCACAGAAGAATATAGTAGAGCTGTCGGCTATATTGGATCATTTGACGGTTGCAGAGGACGAACAATTCCCAGATCTGAGAACACAGGTAATTTCAGAGCAGCACAATGACCCAGAACTCATGAGGTACATACAGGAGATTGAGCGATATCGTGAGAAAGGGTATCAGTTGGATGACGCACAGGCATTAAGACTACATAATCGGCTTTGTGTACCGAGTAATGGTGAGCTGAGATGGAAAATCTTGCAGGAAGCTCATCAATCCAGATTAGCAATCCATCCAGGAGCTAGCAAGATGTATCAAGGCTTACGACAGTGGAATACTTGGCCCGGTATCAACAAAGACGTCGCAGATTTTGTTGCGCGATGTCTGACGTGTTAGCAAGTGAAGGCTGAACGACAAATGCCTGGAGCAAAGTTGTAGCCATTAGAGATTCCGGAGTGGAAGTGGGACTCTATAGCAATGGATTTCGTGGTTGGACTACCAACAACTCCGACAAAGAAGAATGCAATTTGGGTGGTTGTAGACCGATTAACTAAATCGGCACATTTCATACCGATCCGACAAGAGTACACAGTTGAGAGATTGGCACAGATCTATGTGGATGAGATCGTCCGATTACACGGAGTGCCAAGTGAGATTATCTCTGACAGAGATCCTCGCTTTACCTCAAGACTGTGGAATGCTATACAGGATGCATTGGGAACGAAGTTGAAGATGAGTACGACATACCACCCTCAGACAGATGGACAGTCGGAACGGATATTCAAACGCTCGAGGATATGTTGAGAGCGTGTATTCTAGATTGGGGAATTCCGTGGGACCGACACCTCATGTTGTGCGAATTTGCGTACAACAATACTTTTCATGCCAGTATCGGTATGCCACCTTACGAGGCATTGTATGGGCGACCTTGTAAGACACCACTATGTTGTACGGAAATCGGAGAACGACGAAACTTTGGGCCTGAAATTGTAGAGGAAATGACTGAGGTTATCCGAAATATCAAGGTTAACCTGAAAGTCGCCCAAGACCGTCAGAAGTCCTACGCAGATAAACGGAGACGAGATTTCCAACTAGAAGTGGG